TTCATTAAATATATATATATATATATATACATATAATATATATATATATATATATATATATATATATATATATATATATATAAAGATAAAAGAGCAAATAGAAAACGTTTATAAATCTAACTTGTTTTGCTTTTATTAAGGTTTCATCAAAGAATGAAATATGATGAAAAGAAATTTGATTTTCATTGGTTAAACAGGCTTCACGTGCATTTGAATTGTCAAGCAGCGTACGTGTGTATAATTTATATTCCAGTGTATCACAATTCTGTTTTGTTACTGCTAGATTCAAAGCTGTGTGTTCAGTCTTACAAATTGTATCGAGTTGAAAACATTTCAGCAATGCCCTTCTCTATACTGACAAATCAGCCTGTATAAAAAGCATATATCACAGCTGAATACGTACAACCAAGTGTTTTGTTAATCATAGGCAACGTTTCAAATGGCTAACATGAGCTGAGTTCGGAGAGGCACAAGTGGATGGTGTTGCTCAGAAGTGCAAAGGGTTGCTTCCTGATGAACGTTGCAGAGTTTGAAGGGAAACAATACAGACACCAAGACACTGATGTCCAGTATCAAAATGGGGTAACCAGTGATAAAATTAGGTGTCATGTCATCTGCAGCCAGTGTTTTTTTTTATAGTCACAACCATTACAACAATCTAAAAGTACTTCCTGCACATAAGGCGAGATTAACCAATGATTTCTGATCATCACACTGTGTTATCTTTGCTTTGTCCAAGCAACTGGGTGGGGTTCAAAGCTCTCAAGTTTACCTGAGAATCTATTACACCTGAGCAGTGGTACCGGGGTTGCTTTAAATAACCGACGTATTCAATCGATAAACTAATGTCAAATATGTTTTTTTAATAAATGTCCACCCAATACAAGGCTCAAGAGCCACTCAAGTTAGAGTGCTATTAAATGAGGTTGTTGTATGGACACAGGAGGAGAAGGATGAAATAAGTGCTGATTATGAGGATACGTACGATTGGTATTGGTTGACCTTAAACTTAAAGAGGTTATGGTTGTACTGTTCGAGGAAGCATCCTCTTGGGTGTTTGTTCCATAAAGTAATGGGTCGTTGACCGAATGAAAACCTTCTTACCAATGGAATACACGGATCGTAGCTGCAAATCAGACTTTCAAGGTCTGTGAAGATCCGAGCGATGAATGTTTGATCGTCATTAACGTTCACGTGAGGCTCCAGCCACGCGTCAAGACGCCGCTTCTTTTGATCGAAGTTCCACGAGAAGGAGTGAAATAGTCACAGAAACGTGACGCATGTTCGGATTTTCGGTGAAAATCTGTCATACTCTAACTCGTTCCAGTCAGAAGAGATTAAGTTGAGCAATGTCAACACTCCCTGGACATTTCTCGAAATTTTACCCCATTTTCCGCTTAGTCATTCTGAACGCTCATCGTCTTGAACCGACACTCAGCCGTCTTTGAACAGCACATACCACTCAAAACTTTCATTCTATCAAAAGAATCTTCACCAAAAGGACGATAATTATTCCGAACGATGTCAGTAGCTGATTTTGGCGAGCTACATTTAAAACGTCGCACAAATTTGTAAGTAAGAATTTTTTTTTTTTAAGCGTTTCACCCCAAGCAAGGCGGGAAGCCACTAGGATGCAATGGGGTTACAGGAAATAGCAAGATCAGATAGGAGTGATAGAAGAAAGGATGAGGGTAGTGGATAGATCAAGGCAACTGGAGATTATAGCTCGCAGGGAAACAGGAGAAGGGAAGGGAGTTCCACAGGCGAGAGGTGCGAGACATGAAGCTATTAGAGTAGAAGAGACGGCTACATTTAGGAGTTTCAACAGTGAGGGGGTGAGAGCGGGATGCCAGCCTCGTAAGGCGCTGGAACTCATGACGTCTGGGAACCAGCGAATGCAGCTCCTCGGAGAAGTAAGAATTGCAGAGACGTTCCAAGGCGGAGCAGGCGGCACTAATCCTGTTGCTAGAATGACTCTGAAGGTCGTTTGCCAATGAGCATTTGACACACGTGCATTTCCATTGAACGGTACAGTCGCAGCACGTGCAGTCATGGAATTTTCTGAAGTCACTTCGTATGATGTGAACAGTTACATATAAATTTAAGCAAAAATATCAGAACACTATATGATTTCATGCTGTCTCATGCTATGAAAATACGAGGTGATACTTTTTTCAATTCCGTCCATGATTGTCTTTTTAGTCTAGTTCTCAGCGGAGGTTCAAAAAGTCATGTGACGCGAATTTATCTCGAAGTGTCAGGTTTCACAATGACCGGAGAAAACAGAAAGAGAGAGAGAGAGAGAACAAGGAAGAAAATGAATTCGAGGTCTTAGTGTGTTATTACCTTAAATTCGCAATATAATCAATCTTGGCTTTGAGAGTCAAAAAGGAAAAATATTTCCTTCAACTGAAGCCTCTGCTGAAAACAGCGTACTGAACACTTCACCCCCCCCATCGAACCATAAACGATTTTGATTACATTTCACTATTTTTTTGATGATTTTGTTCTCGACTCAAATCTTTAAGGAATTTTCATTGTTTTCATATTCCTTTTTTCTGTTTTTCATACACATACACACACACACACACACACACACACACACACACACACACACACACACACACACACACATATATATATATATATATATACATACACATACAGATATGGATATATAGGTAGACAGATATATAGAGATATTACGCAACACTCTTCAGTAATGAATTGAGCACTCTTGGTTACTGGTGTTTGTATACAGAACGCATATAATACGTTAAAATTTCCCTTTCTCTACTGTGCGCCAATAGCTTAGATGTATAATTTCGAACTGATGCCAAATTGGTCGAGCTTCCATCCCGGCTTCAGGCAATCGGATATCTAGCCGCATTGATGAGCTGTGATACGGCGAAACAGGTTTGTATGTCTATGACTATATATAGATATACATATAGATAGATATAGATATTCCATAGATACGAGAAAAGCATGTCCATTACAGCCTTTCATAATCACCCCCAAAACAATTGCATTTTGTATTAAACCTACGCAAATCAACCCAAATCTTATTTGGGTTTATTTGCAAGTATTAACTATTTGCATTAATATTTTCTGTTTGAACCTGAGACCTTGTGGTTTCGTATTTAAAACCATACCACTGATCTCTCACTCTGTGAACAATATTTATCATCGATGATGATGTTTTGTGACTGAACCTTAGACCTTGCGGTCTTGAGTCCAAAGCTCTACCACTGAGCCTTCACCCCGGGACCGGTGCGTTCAAATGTTGTTCTACTTAAAGACATGAGTATCGCATCACTTCCGTTCTGTTTTGTTTTTTTCGGGGTGGGGGTATTATTATTATCTTCTAATAGAGAGAAGCGGGTGTTTTCGAATATTCTTGCTAGAAAAAACCAACGCCCAGAAGGAGTTTAAGAAAGCTTAGGAAAAAAAAAAAAAAAAGAAGCCCAGCACGACAGAGGAAGTGAGAAAGAATGCGAGATGACGACCAAGGAAAGTGGGGGGTAGAAGAGGAAGACATGTAGCGATTTCGGCATTGACGAGAATTTTCTTTTCTTTTTTTTTTTTTTTTTTTGAAAAAGAGCAAAAACTCTCACGTATAAATAAAGATGTGTAGTAAGAGGTAGAAGAAGTAGGAGTAATCATAGAAATAGTGGAAGAGGATGAGGGAGAAAACGACGAAATGAGATTGAGCCGGGTGCAAAGAGAAGAGAGATGTTAGTTGTTTCAGTTGGTCATGAGTAAACGTTTGTGTGAACGAATGCTATAATTATATTTGACGGGCACATCTTGAAGGACATAGATTTAAAATGTTGGCACATCAGTACTAGCCTTGTCCAAATGAAAAGAACTTTATACTTGTTGATGACAAGTGATTACCATCATTATAATATATATATATATATATATATATATATATATATATATATATATATATATAGATATAAATATATGTAGATATATATATAGAGATAGATATGTGCTTTTTTCTGCAAATACAGAAGAAATCTCACGCCAGCAATTTGCATTCGCCAGCTGGAACCCATCGCTCGTTTTGCGGCCTTTCTCAAAAGTCTTTTGCTACGTCCGCCAAAAGAGTCAGGTTGCTGAATACTGTGCACCATATGGTTAACGAAAAACCAGGGAGACAAAAATCACCACTAATATATATATATATATATATATATATATATATATATATATATATATATATATATGATTCTAATATCTATCCTGTTTTTCTGTTACTCATCCAATAGAAGGCCGAAGCGTTACTGGCGCTAGAGGCTTAATCTATTAATTTGTTATAAGTGTGAAGAAGGAGGGTGCAAGAGGTACATATTATAAGGATATGTAAGAAAGAACGGTTGTCCATAGACTTGAAAAGGAAGCAATCTATTTGAAGTCAATTCCACAACGCAACAGTTCTGGGAAAGAAGCTATCTGGATGCAAATTCCTCCTTATCAATGAAATATAAAGGAAATAAATATGTTTCGACTAGATGTACGTGGTATCCTGACCTTAACTGTCAAGGTCTGGACTAGTGGAATCAATGAATGTAGTTAGCTCGGGCAACTGTCAGCAAAATAGTAACAGTCTAATGAGAGGTTAGCAACGTTTAATTTGTGGGATACGGGCTGTATGCTGAGAAGTAATCACCCACAATGCTGCATAAAGCTTTTAAACACTGTTCAAGATGGAAAGTGAGAATTGGGCAGCTAGGCGGACGATGTGACAGCAATGCTTTATTTTTTGGTTCGATTACACACTTAAAAAGAGAGCCTAACAAAAGGTATCAGGTATTTTCTGACTGAGTGCTAACTATACTACTTCTATATGATGCGTCCCCTCAAGAGGTGGTTAACCACGATTCTCCACAAATTCCGGTTCTTTGTAGATCTGCCAACCATTCGCACAAGCGTAAGGTAGGTTATTCGCTGTTTTCTTCTGTTACTCTTGCCTTCAATATGTTCTGTGCTTACGGCCACATCACGTTAAAATACCTCTTCCCGTACGATCAGCGAAGTTAAGCAGCGTGAAGCCTGATCAATACTTAGATGGGCGACCGTTTGAGAATAACAGGTGCTGTTAGCTTGGATGTGCAATTAGTTTAATGGATAATGGCTAAGGATTTTTAAACCAAGAGCCCAGTTCCAATCCCGGTTGGGTTCGTAATATTCACTCGGGCGCAAATACCCTTGGCAAAGGTCATGAATCCACATCTCCCCCAGCTATGGATTAATTAGTAAGACTTGCATCACCAAAACAATACTATCTTTAAAAAATTCGTACAATCTGTTGTGGTGTCCTCTCTCTGAAGAGTCTATTCTCAACTCTTCCTCCTCCAAGATGTAGTGGCCAAGTAAATGGTTAAAGAAATAACAAAACAAGTGTTACAGATATATCATATATTAAACAGTAAGTACAACGGGAAGTATTACTCGACTAGTGAGTGTTTGTCGGTTGACCCAGCGTTTAATCTATTCGGCTGTTATATTTAATAGACCCCCCACCACACACACGAGGGTTGTATGTGGCACAAGGCCGAGTTTACCATGGGTTCTCCGAGCCTGTAGGCTCGGCCAAAAATATTCCCTTAGAACTCGTATAAATGGGTTCAGAGCCTGTCTACATCCCCGGACGAAACTTTGTCCTTCGGCGAAGCCTCGTCCAGGTTCCTCTCTGCTCAAGGCAGAGAGTTCGACAGTAATGAACAATCTAGTCGATTGTTTCCCCAAGGCCTTCTCTGCTACTAATCTTATAGTAGGCGGAAGAGTTCAACACATACTCTTTAGGGGGAGGACACCACAACACCATCTAAAATGTTTTCTGGCTGTAAATAACCTGCAATGGGTTGATAAGCTGAAGCAAATGAATCGATCGATCAGTCAAAACAGTATGTTCTGTAAGAATCATCTTTTCCACGCCCCCTTTCCTCATTATTTGCCCTAGAAATTTCAACTGTCTCTTTTTGATTCTATTTGTAAGTGTCCGTGATGTGGCTGTGTTCCATAAAGTAGGTCCGATATTACGTAACAGTTCAGCACCTTTTCCTTTCTGCTTAGCTTTTGAAAGAGCTTTCGCTAACTATACGTCAATCCAAGTAAAAATTTATTCAGCAGTGAAAAGTCTGTAAAGAACATCAAACGCATTCCTAACGACGCTTTCACATTTATTTCTTGGATGGACAAATATCAGGGCCTTGTCTAAGAAATACAAAAAATTTATAGATCATGCTAATAGCAGTCAGTCATTATGGTGAACTAGGAAAGGTCCCAAAGGTACGTGCAAATATATTGGATGAATTGAGAATCCGAGGTAGAACATACGCGATGCACGTCAGTCGGAATGTATCATTTGATCTTTTAGTTATTTATTAGTGTAAAAGACTTTAAGTGATTAAATCGAGACTTAGTAGAGACAAATATTACTATTATTACAACAATAACTAATAATAATCCTCCCTCATCAGCGTCATTGAAAAAGAAATGCTTCATCGATGTGGCTGTTTCTGGTTACCATAATATCAAGGTCAAATAAATTGAAAAGCTTAAAATATATATTGACCTCCTGATTTAAGTTGCCAGAATTTGGGTCATTGTGGTCTAAACCATCGAATATAAAGACCTACATGGAAATAAAGCCTAATATCCCATTACTTCAAAAGTGCGTTATTTGACTCTGCGAAATGTGCTATCTTTTTTTTTAAGTATATTGAGGAAGAGTTGGTCGAGTTTTATGCCGAAAAAAGCACGTCTTCTGGTGTACATATGCCACAACAAAAATCGCGAACTTGGAATGTGAGTACAGCGTAATAAAATGAAAACTCCCCCATATATATATATATATATATATATATATATATATATATATATATATATAATTTATTCGAAAATTATAACATAAAAATGTTATAAAATCACATACCCATTTTGTTTCAACATTTCTGGTGTCTTCTCAAGTGATGGTGAACGAATATATATATATATATATATATATATATATATATATATATATATATATATATATATATATGATACTATGTTTTAAAAAAACAATAGAATATTGTTGCGTGTTACAAAACAATGAACATGAATGAAGAAGACATTTAAACTACTGAAGTGTGTGTGCGAAGTTGCGTAGAACTAAGTAACAAGCGTGTGTATTAGCTACATGTGCCTATATGCTTGTGTGTCTCTCTGAGTGAGAGAGAGAGAGCTCAAAGTCAACAAGGACCAACGGATGTGAACGCGCCCTCAATGGCGGCGTTCTTATCTGCGGGTGACCTACATTTTACCGTCCCTGGGTGAAATAGGAAAAAGAGAATGACAGAGAATGTCATTGCCTATTTATAGGTTTAGAGATCGTCCCCGAGGGGCGGTTTTTTAGGAACTAAGTGGGGAAACCCCTACAAGTCGTACGCACCTCCGATTGAAAATGAATAATCGTGCGAAGAAAAGAATATTTTGGCGTTCTAGGGAGACTGTGGCGCTTACTCGGGTGGCTAGCAAATCCCTGTTTCAGACTGCAACTATGATGAGAGAATCTCTCACAAAGTTTTCAGAAAGTTAGCAAATAACCTGGCGTGATCAACAGTTTGAATCCACAATCTCAATGAGGCCTTCCTGCTAAGAACACCATCGACAGCTTTCGTAAAACTTCTAATTTTACTCACAAGTCTTGGATCAACCCGCGATATGGTTTTGATACACTTCCAAAGAGGTCATAAGCTTGGATCATCTCCACAGCCGATATTATCGAAGAGGTGACTTCTTGATCAATCAACCGGGGTGTGATACGAACCCGGATCGGAATGTTAACGTGTTAAGTGGAAAAATGGCGGTGTTGGTATTATTATTATTATTATTATTATTATTATTATTATTATTATTATTACAACAGCAACAAAAGATTTCAAATTTTTTTTATATTTTTATGGTCAATTTCTGATATGTGCTTATACAAAGTTTCAATATCTAGAACGGATACTTGGATACGTAAGAAAAGTGTGTATCTCCACGCCAGGTTTATTCAACATTTACAGCGTGGCGGTCCTAGGAAAAAAGAAATCATACCAGAATTTATTTTCGGACACAATCTTAAGATATATGCAGATGACATACTGCTGATAGCAGACACTATAAAACAGAACGTATAGTTTCAGCAAGAAGAAGATGCTCAAGATGCAAGCTAAGAGTCGAAGATGCCAAAATCAAGCATGTACGAAAATTTAAATATCAAAAGATGCCTTCCAAATGCTAAGTATTAAGAAACAGGAAAATTTTGTCAGAAACAAAGAAGGTTGAACTTCTATATAATATCAATCCTTCTATATGACTGTGAATGCTGGGCAATCTCCACACAGCTGAAGAGTAAACTTGATTAACAATATGGTTCTACAGAAGTATGCTGTGAATATCATGGAGGGGACATGTTAGCACCTAGGGAGTCTTAAGGAATGTGGAAACAAAAAGGATGCTTATACTTAGTATAAGAAACAGTTGAAATTTCTAGGACGTATAATGAAGAAAGAGGACTTGGAGAATTTGACACTCACAGGTCATAATGAAAGCAAGAAAGGACAAAAGGAAAAAAACGAGTAACCCACCTGACAAGATTGTGTAAATTAATGACCAGACAGTGATTGGGGGGGTAGTGAAAAGATAAACTTTATTAAGATTTACAAAGAAAAGTTGTGGAGAGTCATGATCGTTCTGAAAGGACCCGACACAGAGAAGAGGAAGAACGCAAAGAAATGGGAGGAGCTCAAATCTGGAAATGTTCTCGGGGGGGAGAAAAAAAAAAAGCAGATCAATATAGTGAAGATTATAGAAAGACAACTTAAGGGCTTAGGCGATCATGGCTCTCCACAACTACCTATCTCGTGTGGCTATCAACACCCCCCCTTGCAAATGCCCCAACCCGCCTTTCATTCACACAAGCTCGTCAGGTAAATGACTCGCTGCCTTCTATCTCTCTGGCCCTTCCTCAATACGCCCTGTGAGGGTTAAGTTTTCCAAGCCGTCCTTTCTCATTATGCGCCTAAAGAGTGACAGATATCTTTTCCTGGCTTTGAGAATAACTGTTCTTTCTGTTGCCATTTTCTTTAAGACTACTTTGTTGCTTACTCGCTCCGTTCATGGAATTCTCAGTATCCTTCTGTAGAACCACATTTCTGCTGTTTCTAGTCCCCCCACTGCATCCTTGGAGGAATTGTCCATATTCACTGCCACTTAAGAGGATGGATGCTATATAGCAGCCCAGCATTATTTTCTTTGTTTCTCATGTAATTAGACAGACCACCCAATTCAATTAAGCAAACGGGATGTTGGTGGGGAGAATAAACAGAAGAAATTCGTTAAATCGTGCATGCACAGATGAAAGATAAAGAAAAGAAGAAAGATGAAGATATGGAGAAACGAAACGAATATAAAAAATAATCGTAGTTTCATTTAACGTTAATTTCATTAGAACTTTGTATACGAACGCAAAGTTTCAGCTTTTTTTCTTTCTTTTTTTTTTTTTTTTATTTGCACTGATCATTCCTTTATCGCTGCTCCGCCATTCTTACGATTAGAGTTTGTCATTTCTACAAACTAAATATTTCACTGATGGTCGAGCGGTTTGAACTACTATCGCTTCAAAATCTTCTGTAGTAAGTGGACTGCTTAGTGCTTAGCGTTCTATTTCTTAAGACCAAAATGTTTGAATATCAAAGACGATTTAAAATAGAACCTTTTGAACATTGTCCAAGCCACCAAAAGCAATCAAATAAAATGTAAATTCTTGGAATAAAGTAAAAGACCCATAAAAGATTTTGATTTACTGAATTTAAGAAAAACGAAAACCCCGAAAATATGACCGTTGCGGTAAGTTTTATCAGTTCTAATCTTGGCGTGGTCATAAATTAACAGGCAAATGGTGTAACGTTGCTCAATTTGGCATGAAAAACCGCTTCTTAATAGCGCTCAGCCTATTCAGGGCAAGCGATGCGTGGTACACAGCGACACCGCAGAGGGTGGTCTGACGTCTCACGTGGTGTAATCGTTTGTGCGCGAAGCTAGCAGGATATTCCTAGTGAGTTCGATAGT